GATTGAAGTGTGAACCCACAAGGAACTGCACACTTTGATTGGCTGCGTGCAGTCACGTGTGCTTTATGTTGGTCGAGATCAACAGACTGCTCAAACCTTATGAACGCTGTGTTTGCTCCGCTGTTTATACTGAAGGGATTGACAGCGTGAAAGTCATTTCGCTCCTTTCACTTATGGCAATTGATTATGACACCATGTTGAGTTCTGCAAGTTCATATGCTAAAGAAGTTAGCTGCTTGCCTTGCTTCGTGTAACAATCCAATTCGTTGCTATTGTAATTATTGCTTTTCCCTTACAATGTAACTGTGACTATGTTTATGTTTCTTTATCAGATTACGGGACACCGATTTTGCATGTGTTATGTTTATCATTTGCAGCAATCTGTGCGCTCGTGATCTGAAGACTATGTTCATGAGTGAAGCGGGTGTAAGTTTTTTTAGGCTGATAAGTTCATTGTGCAGTGTGTCGTGGTCGAAGTACCTTAATATTTAAATATGTTTGTATGACTTTCAATATGTAGCTTCAATGCATAGTTGTCCTACCTATTCAGGATAATGAGCCATTCTATAAATAGGAACAGCGCTGAATACCTATTTGCATGTGGTTGTGTGACTGAAACATTGTATGGTGAGTAAGTTCCTTTAGCCATGAGGTGCACATGGCATACTTAATTTTGCTGTGCCATTCCTCCCTGCTTAGCTTCCAGCACTTTTGTTGAAACGAGAAAAGGGAAAATTCAATTGCAGCGTGCGACGAATCTTTGTAACTCTGCTCGTTCTGGACAAATTTTAAAAATCTTTGCAGCGGTGAATTCGTGAGCCAATAAGCTCCTTTAGTGTATCCTTTCCATGGCGTCTTGAAAAATTGTTCCAAGGCCCCCTTAAGCATAGCATTTATTTAAAACAAATGGGAGCCTCTGTGATGGGAGCCTCTGTCACGTTTACTGCTGGAGGCGGCCACGCCGCTCCAGCAGTAAACGTGACAGTCGGACCATGCCAACAGAAAAGAACAGCCGGTTTTATTCACACTCGTGAATATATATAGGAAAGTAAGGGGGAGAGGGAAGGGGGATAAGATTGTGCACATGCGCACTTGAGAGCTTGGGTCGCGTCGTTCAATGGGTTACAGCATTTCTTCCCCCTTAGTAGCCAAAACGCACGACCGGTTTCTTGGCTCATGTGGAGCGACGTAGTACGTATGGTTGCGATTCTGGGGTACTCTGAGAGGTAGCCGGCGCCGTTGTTTCTAGTCGTACCGGCCCTGGGGAAACCGGTGTAGATGGCCTCGACATGTCGTCGGCTGCTGGCGTTTCATCTGGGCTCCGCTTGCGAACTTGATCCACGTGGCGGCGGACAAGGCCATCCACAGTCTTTACCTCCAGGAGGCGAGTGCCACGCGTAGCCTCCACTGTGCCTGGGAACCACTTGTCTCCGGCGCCGTAATTTCGCACGTACACGTAGTCTCCCGGTGCGAAATTCCAGCCTGGGTCACTCGCAGCTTTGGCAGGATAGACTCTGGAAGGAAAAGACATCTCCATTCTTGTGCGCAGACGGTATCCTAATAGCCTCTCTGAGGGAGAAGGACCCTCCTGGTGTGGTGCGTTCCGATAATTGCACAATACACGTGCCAGTGCGGTGAGGAGGCAAGTGCCGCCTATCTTCTTCAAGCCATCTTTGATAGTGCGCACGGCTCGCTCTGCTAGTCCATTACTCTGGGGGTGATAGGGAGGTGTTCGAATATGCGCAATGCCATTGCGCTCCATGAACTGCTCGAACTCTCGTGCCGTGAATGGCGTCCCGTTGTCAGAAACCACCGTGCGCGGTATACCAAAACGGCTAAATATCGTTCTGAGGGCCTCGACTGTGCTATGCGAGTTGGCCTGCGACACGGGAAGCGCCTCAATCCACTTGGTGTGCGCGTCGACAACGATGAGTAACATTTTCCCTTTTACTGGTCCCGCATAGTCCACATGTAACCGCGACCACCTTTCGTGCGTCTCGGGCCAATTTACTGGTTCTTTTGCCTGAGCCATCGGCAACGCTTGCACACAGTTTTGGCATGTCGCCGCAACGCGCTCGATGTCTTGCTCTACGCCGGGCCACCAAAATAACGATCTGGCCTTCGCCTTCATGGTGGAAATTCCTTGGTGGGCTTCATGCAGTAGCCTTAGCAACTTCCCGCGTGCTGCTGTCGGCACTACAAAGCGATGGCCCCAGTAAAGAAGTTCTTCACTAACAGACAGCTCATGCCGCCTTTTGTAAAAATCGGCGATTTCTGTATTTTCCGTGTCGAGTTTTTTTGGCCAACCTTCCCGGGTATACTTGCGTACCTGGAAAAGTACCTCATCCGCGACGGCGAGTGCCTGGAGTTCCTTCCATGGCAGGGCCGGCTGATCCCACTGGTCCAGGGTCAGAACTTGAGCTTCGTCCTCCTGGTCCACTTCTTCCTGCAACGGTTGGGGTAGACGGCTAAGAGCATCAGCATTGCACATGAGTTTACCCGGTCGATGTTGCAACCGATAACGGTAGGCACCAAGTATGATGGCCCAACGCTGAATGCGCGCAGCGGCCATAGCCGGCGTCTGACGATCCGCTCTTAGGAGACCCAACAGTGGTTGATGGTCGGTTAGAAGCGTGAACTGTCTGCCCAGCAGATAATCTCGGAATCGCGTGACGCCATAAACCAGAGCCAACGCCTCACGTTCAATCTGTGCATAATTCTTTTCTGCGGCAGTAAGCGTCCTGGATCGAAATCCAAGGGGCTGATACTGTCCTTCAATTCGGTGGAATAGTGCCGCTCCCACACCGTAGGGTGACGCGTCGCACTCCAGAAATAGCTCTCGTGCGGGATCGAAGTGAGTTAACACAGGCGCGGAACACAAAACGGCTTTTGCTTTTCGGAAGGCATCGTTTTCGCGCTCATCCCAAGACCATTTCGATTTCTTTTCCAGAAGAAGGTATAGGGGACTCAGGAGCGTGGACAGATTAGGCAAGAATTTATTGTAGAAAGTTAGCATGCCCAAAAAAGACCGCAATTCCGTGACATTGTGAGGAGTCGGTGCCAGCTTAATTGCTTCGATGTTCTTGTCTGACGGGTGCAACCCTGCTGCGTCAATTCTGTGTCCTAGATACGTAACTGACTCCTCACCTATTCGGCACTTGTCCGCGCGGAGCTTCACGCCGTACTCCCTGAACCGCTGCAAGACTGCTTGCAGGTTCGCAGTTGGCTTATCGTTCGCATCTGCTATCAGGACGTCGTCTAAGTACGCTTGAACCCCTGGGAGGCCTTGCAGCACCTGCTCAATTGTTCGTTGAAAAATCGCAGGGGCCGAGGCTATCCCAAACGGTAGCCTGTTATAACAAAAGAGGCCCTTGTGAGTGTTTATAACCGCTAACTTGCGCGAATCTTCGTCTAGAAGAATTTGGTTGTAGGCATCACGTAGATCCAAGATACTGAACTGCTGCCCTCCACGAAGCGTAGCGAAAATGTCGTCCACTACGGGTAGAGGATAACTTTCCATTTCACATACTGGGTTTAGAGTAACTTTGAAATCGCCACAGATGCGGACTGTTCCGTCACGTTTCAGCACTGGCACCACCGGGGTTGCCCATTCTGAATAGGAAACTGGCGTAATAATGCCTTCGGCCACGAGTCGATCTAGCTCGGCGGACACTTTGTCTAGCAAAGAAAATGGAATTTTTCTTGCCTTACAGAACCTTGGGGTTGCTCCGTCCTTTATATGAAGCCGTGCTGGTGGTCCCTTGATGGCTCCCAGGCCCTCCGCAAAAAGGTCTGCGTACTGTTCCAGCACGGGTGCCGCTGTCCGACTCTCCAGCTTCCCGTCCGATGAGAGTGACGCGATGTGAAGAAGCGGTGCCCCTTGTGTCTCGAGCATCTGTAACAGGTCACGGCCGCAAAGGCTAGGACCTTCGCAGTCTAACACAACGAGATCGCAGTCAACTGTTGCAGACTTGTAGGAAGCTTGCATTTTGACAATGCCCCGCACTGGTATCTTCCCAAGATAGCATGACAGAGTTAATGCAGCTTTACAAAGCGGTGGCCACTTATGACGATAGGCTTCGTATATCGCTTTAGGCACTACGCAGACAGGTGAACCTATGTCGATTATCATATTCAGTGGCACTCCGTTCCATGTAACCTGCTTGTGTAGGGGCGGAACCAGGCTTCCATTACCCTTCACTGACCATATTTGTAGTGCGTTACAATCGTTATCTTCACTTTCCGCTGAACACTCTGTTATCGCGAAGGTTCTGTTGGTGGTGGCTGTCCGGGAGCATACTCGCGCCAAGTGACCTTGTCGCCCACATTTGTAGCACCTGCGCCGTCGTAATGAGCATTCCCTGGCTTGATGTCCCTGTTTGCCACAGCAGCTGCAGTGCTGCGATAAGCTGCTCCGTTCGCTCCTGCTGATTTCGGGTTGCCTGCTACGCTGCACGTTGAACACCCCAACGGCGTCACCTTGCCCGGTCATCTGTTGCGACCCTAACTCCGCGCTTTCGGCTGCTAGAGCTAGTGCTTCCGCTTCTGCCAGCGTCAAGTCCTTTTTAGCTAATAGTTGTTTCTGCAGGTTTTTCGAGCGCACTCCACAAACGATGCGGTCCCTCAGCATTCGCTCCAACATTGAAGAGAAGTTGCAGTTATGCGCTAGCTTGCGAATCTCGACGATAAACGCCTGCACGGACTCCCCTTCTTGTTGGTTTCGGTGAAAGAACTTGAAGCTTTCTGATATCTCGTTAGGGGACGGATCATAGTGCTCGTTCAAGGTTGAAACAACTTCTTCGTAACTCAGCGAGCTTGGTTTTCGCGGTGCGGTTCTGCCGCAAAGGATTTCAACGGTCCTCGATCCTAACGCAGCCACCAACAAGGCCCTTTTCTTCGCGTCGTCCGTAACTTTGTTCGCTTCGAAGTAGGCGTCAATCTTAACGAGATACGCTTGCCACTTGTCTGTCTCCTCTGCAAAATCCGGAAGCTTGAGGGCCATGGCTGCGGGCGGGCTGATGGGCGTCTTCGTCTTGGTCTCGCCGCTGGCGCCCGGCTTACACGTATCGGTGGGTATTCTCGTCGCCACTGTTAGTTGGGAGGCGGCCACGCCGCTCCAGCAGTAAACGTGACAGTCGGACCATGCCAACAGAAAAGAACAGCCGGTTTTATTCACACTCGTGAATATATATAGGAAAGTAAGGGGGAGAGGGAAGGGGGATAAGATTGTGCACATGCGCACTTGAGAGCTTGGGTCGCGTCGTTCAATGGGTTACAGCACTGTTGTTTGTTACCACTGCAGCAACAGGAGGTTTGAGTAAACCAGCTTGGCCACACTTTAATAAAGGGGTACCAACACGAACTTTCAAAGGAGAGTTTACTCTACCATGCAAGGCTCCTATATGCAGAAACGCCTGGGTCAATTGTGAAGATCAGCAAGGGCTGATTAGGCATTTCATTTTCACATTCAAGGGATTTTCGAGGGGCACACCATGTCATCTCTAATGTGATGCAATGTTACATGTCGACTCTCGAGATTTCATTTTCCAGTACAGCTGCTTCTCATGACATTAGGCATTGCGACATTCAAAGTGGACATTATGCCTCACAAAAAACATTCAATATGGCTCCACGTGTGTGGCCAATAGAGCCAGATGGGGAGCAGCCATGAAAACCTGAGACCTTGTGTGAGAACATTGAAAGAATGTCATGTCATTTTGCAATTAAAACATACAGAAAAAAACGAAACTAGCTTTTCAAAACGTACTGCACGCTTGTCAGTCCATTTTATATGCTCTGGAGAGGGTGACCTTCTGTTTGAAGCAAATAAAAGAACAAACGAAAACTTTCATGCCGGTACCATTTTAGCAAGTGCAGCAGCCCGTCTCGATCACAGTCAAGTTTCTCGTAGTGTGTGAAATAAACGTCGCTTCTGAAACGGCGGGTTTCTTCAAAAACTTGTGGTTAGTGTTTAAATCATCGCCCAGTGTATGAAATAGCTTGGCATTGCTTTCCCTTCCTCTCTGTGGCCCTGCAGGTTCCCCATCCAAAATGGCGCACGAGGAGTACCATTCGCTCGTGTCCTTTCAAGACGGGCTCCATTCTTGCCGACAGTGCACTTACGTGACCAGGTACAAGACGCACATGAGAACGCACCTTCTGAGGCACTTGGGCAAGCGCCCCTTCGAGTGCCACTTGTGTCCGGCCACATTCACCGAGAGGTCTAAGCTCAAGCTTCACGTGCGTGCCCACACAGGAAAGCGTCCCTTTCCCTGCGACTTCTGCGACGCATCCTTCAACCAGAGGAACCACCTCATTGAGCACATTTACACCCACACGGGAGAGCGTCCCTTTTCCTGCGACCGCTGCCCTGCGTACTTTACAAGGAAACACAATCTCGGTGTCCACATGCGCACTCATACAGGAGAACGCCCCTATTCCTGTGTTCACTGCAACGCTCGTTTTTCACGGAGGGACAACCTCAGATACCATGTGACCCACCTTCACGCTGAGAAGCCCTAAAGGTCAGTGTGCAATAGGCGTGCAAGGGAGATCAGGCCGCAATAGTATTTCCCAGGTTTTTGTCGTTCCTGCTAGTTAATAAAAACCAAAATGGTTTTGTTGGCTGTTCACTGTTTAACTAAACTTAATTATAGCTAAGGGTGTGCGAATATTTGACTTTAAAATGCGAAGGAATACCTGATCTCATTATCCTATATGACTTTTGAATAGATAGCATTCAAAGTTTTGAAATATTAAAAGCCTTTCTTGAATTATTCTAATGCAAAAATTTTAGTGTGTCTGCCTGGGATTCCCTAGTGTTTCTTAGGCTGCGCTGAGGATATGGCGCTATGTACGAAAAAAAAATGCCCTCTGCCGATGATACGGTGCTGCCACCTGCCACTGGTCCTGAGTTTTGCACAAGCTCATGTTTCTAACACCCCTGCCAGATGGCGTCCACATCTCGCTACCTCTTCTATTTCATCAATTCCAACTCGATGCGGCTGATTCAACATAGATGAGGTGCTGTCTGAGGCAAGGCAAAGAATATTTAGAACACATGGTGAAACTTGGTTAGGCTGGGATGGCTAAAACTAATATCAATGTTATTAGTGGTAGGCTTTTTTTTAAAACTGTCACCAATATTATAGTTGAAAAGGGAGAGCATGATTATTTTAAAATGAAATTTGTCATTTCCGAACATCAGAAAACTGTCAAGACAATCACAACTTCGCTTCTGAAACGAGGGCACAGACTTCTTGAGTAGATTGGTCGGATAAGCCACAAGCACTGTAAAACATACTGACTATGGCCCATGAAACCCTCGGTACTCGGCTTCAGATGTGAACATTTGTTCATACTGCGCAGTTGCCACTACCGCTCGCATCCTTTGTTCAGCAATCCCCACTGCACAGTTGAAAGGCTGCCGTGAAAAAGCTCCTGAAGATTTTTGGGCCCTCTACACTCGTGACAATGAAGCACAATGTTGCTGTTGTCAGATTATTGTGAGGAGGTTAAGACTGCCGCTGCTTATTGGGTTGGTGGCTATTGCATACTCATAAATGCTCGAAAAATGAAGAAATTAACAAAATGTCTTCCCAAATAAGCCTGTAATGAAGCTGCCGCCATCTTGTAGCGTCCCAAATTTTTCCTTTGTTTTGCTATAAACTGGAGGTACATGTTTCGTAAAAATAACGTAGTCTTTTCTGCAAAATGATTTGTTGTGTTTTTATAGCAGTCACTCATAGTGTTGTGGGCTCGAGGACATGCAGATTTCATTTTTTTGGTCTTTCAATTTGCAGTAAAATCTTCTGTATTCGATATTTGACTGGTTAGTCACTATATTTTTCCACTATTTGGCATTATTCGATTTGGAATAAATTTGAGATGAAATTTCATCCTTTGCACACCCCTAATTATAAAGAGATCTTTTTATATAACAAGGTATTTAAAATCTTTGTGATTTGAGGTCCATGCAATATATTTTTAATTTTTAACTTCAACATAAAAAGTAATGTCTACTTGCTTTTTTTTATACATATACAGTAAACTCCCATTAAGATAAACTTTGTTAAGATGAATTCTTGCATAAGACAAACAACACAAAAGTGTTTGTTTGGTTTCCCATAGACTTAATGCAAAAAAAATCTGCTTAAGACAGACCGTGTAACAGGCCTCTTCTGTTAAGACGAACTCATACAGCGACGAACAACAATGGGGAGTGTGCACAACAAACATTATAATCTCCATGGGGGCAGCCAGGCAAACAAGAGACAGCAAATTGAAAAAAGAAAGACTTCCTGACGTAAAGACTCTAAGCAAATTGAAAGCGAAATGCGATGTGGAGAGAGAAAGCAATATAAGTGGAAGAAAAAGGTCAGCTCATAAAGCTGGTATCTCCCCCACCCGAAACCTGTAAGTGCAGAAAGGGCTGGATTTGTCAGCAAATAAAGAAACAAAAGGTGTTCATCCTTTTGTATTCTCCGCGCATTCTTCAATTCCCCAACAGGAGCACAGTAGAGAACAGAAGAACACAAGAGCTTGACTAGAGGGGAAAATACAAGGGAAGGGGGACAAGAAAAAGCCAAACAGGAACAAACTTTGTCTGTACATTTAATTACATGAAACGGAAACCACATATGTGGTACTAGCACCCCATCAAAGAAGTCAGATACATTGTCAACACCGCCAGACAATGGTGCCTGAGTACATGTTGTCAGTTTGTGTTGTTTTGCATTAGGCCTGTGCGTGTCGTATCTGTTCCTAGTGAAATGCAGCCAATTGGGATGGGCCGTTTTCATTATGAAAGTGCGTGGCAATGGAAGGTAATTTTGCACACTAAATACAGCTGTGTCATGTCTTTTAAGTGGGCCCGAGGCTTGTGATTACGAGTATTGTAAACGAAGACCTTCAGCTGCATGTCGTTCAGGAAAGTTACTGCAGGTTGAAAATAAAGTGTCCAAACCTGAAAAAAAAAAAAAAAGCTTGCAGACTTTCATAAGCAACTGGGTGTATAATATTGGCTTTGTCAACAGATGCAACGACGGTGTATTCAAAAGTGATAGAAATGCCAGTAAAACAGCCTCTAAGAAGATGAATAGCCAGAAGAATAAATTTTCCATTCTCTGAAAGAAAATTGTGCTTGTCTCTCCCTTTTTATTATTTTATATTTACCAAAATAGGGTCGAGTTACAGTTTTGTTTTTAAAATGTGGCAGCAAGTCATTCATGAGCATATTTATTATGAACTCATTTAGTCTAAATACTCTGCTTGAAAGCATAGTTTTTATCCAGCCGAACCAAATAAATGTTTTTTCTTGTTCGATTCCTCCCCATTATAAGTACACTCCATTCAGTGTTTTCAAGCAACATGTTTGGGCGTAATTGGTATATTAGCATTTGGTTTTGGGGGGCACTTCTGAAAGATGAACTCCTGATAAGATGAACAAATGATTGTGGTACTTTCGATCTCGTCTTAAAGGGGGTCTACTTTATATACCGAATTTTCACCGTTTCCATAGCGGAATAATAAAACAACGAAATGAAACCTATAATCGTATCCATGGTGCAATGGTTGCGCATCTGAGAGGGGTAGCCACAGAGCAGGATGTCTTTCCAAGCAGTGGCTTTTCGCAAATATCAGAAATGTTCAAAACTTGGTGCAACTTGGTTGTGAAGGGATATTTTGTCCATCTTCACAAGAGGAAGTTTTGTGTTCAATTTCCACACCTGCCGGGGCACTCACTGGTTGGTTTTCTTATCTGAAGTGGGGCGCCCCAACCTAAGGCTTGCTGCTCATGAGACCATAGGCGTGCTCAGGGTTCCCCTTCAAGTGGGGCAAAGGTTCGCCCCAGTGCCCCCCTTCCTATTATGGCGATCTATGGGGTGACATTGCTGTCCTACCCATTGTGTCAATCACGGCTGACTTTGAGCCCCCCTCTTGTGAGTGGGTGTGACAGCCACCCCCCCTACTCACTTGAAGGACCCCTGACACCAAATGTGGAAAGGCGAGATGCTTGTGTTGCTTGATAGCACTGGATGTGGGGACACCTGTAACTGACTATTAGTGGCAAGAGTAGCCTAGAAGATATTTTAATTTGGCTTTAAAGTAAGGGTGCATGTTCTAATGAGTATTCAAGTGCAATCGACATTTTCTGTGGTTTGACGTAGACCGGCACTCTTTTTGTGACGTTGCAAGGTCAACATTTGTGGGGCGCGCACAATACCGACTGGCACCCAGCGAGCACTACTGTTCCACACCCCTCTCGCTCTGTTGTCAGGCTGCTCTCAAGGTGGTTATGGGTTCTTATGCCAGGAATGCTTTTCTTTCTTTTTTTTTTTTTTTTTTTGGGGGGGGGGACACGCTCAAAGCACCCACATCGCTTCATTCTTCACCACACGCGTGTCCCCCTATTTGAAAACAGTCTCAGGCACTGCTCCGCTGTGGGGGGCTAGGTTCTTACTGTATTTAGTTGGGCATTTCGAAGTGATGCAAAATTGTTCTGAATTAATCCCATTAACATTATTATACGATGCATTGGAGAATTTATGATATAATTTCAGCATTACTAGGCATAAAGCTACAAATTACTGTAAAAAGCTCGCAAAGAAAACTTTTGCTGTCAGGGGTGTTTTATGAGGGGGGTGCACCCACCTATGCATAAATGCATGAGACTATCACGCATTGAGGGCAAGTGTCCCGTGTTGGACAAAAGATACATATTTCGCACTTCACATTTGGTTGTTATTGTATGTGGGCCCCTGTTTAGGACACATTAGGTGCAAGTACTCTGAGCTTGCAAAAGAGTCGCGTAGTTCACGATGGTAATACCTCCTTATGATGCCAGCTGTATGGGTAAACCAGATGCGGGCGTAGCGCCCCTGGGCCGATTGAATACTCGTGCCATCGGATCTTGCCACCACTTGCCATTGGCAAACCGAGCCATTTTTTATTATTTATTTATTTTAGTTTTTATTTTATTCATGCTGTCAGCCCAAGGGCCAAGACAGGAGTTGAGGTTACATATCTGGCATGTACAAAGAACATATGTAGAAACAAGTTTCACACTGTACGCTCAAGACGCACACTACATGGAAATAACAAAACAAAAACACAAAACTGTATCAGAATTCATTCCGTATAGGTCACGGTTAAAAGAAACAGGTTCCGATACATCTCGTACACGTCACCAAAAAGAGAAAAAAGATTCGAAGTGATATAGTACATATTGAACATATTGATATAGTACATTGAACATATTCAACCAACAAGGAACAAGCAATTTGGTTATAAATATTCTGACAAAGCCTTTTCGAATTTTTGTAAATCGCAATGTTTGACTATATATTGAGGTAATTGATTCCAGTCATCGATGCTCCGAACCAAAAACGAATACTTGAATAAATCTGTTCTGTTAAAAGGTTAGTTTGGTCTGACAGGAAATTTAGTGCACGAAACAACAAGCTACATCGAGTACTTCGCAGGCTCTCACCCACAACATATGGAAACTAAAACATAGCTGTTTTGTGGGTGACAGTTCTCTTAGTTGCCAAGCTCGCAAGTTGATATCATTAGAACTGTTTAACATTTGAGCAGCTTGCAACAATGTGCGAAAATAGTTTGCTGTGCAACAGGTCATGAATTTGAATTTGATCTTGTATCAGTTGTGACAAAATATCGCGAAAGGAAATTTCTCACCTTAACGTGAAAAATAAATTATAGTTAATTGAAGTACATATCGTGCTGCATCTATCCCTCCTTTGCCTTCTTTGGTTAGTCTGTCTCACATTTCATTACTGGGAAGCTGATCACTGTTTGCTCGCTGAGAGACATTTGCAGGGAGGTCTGCATTATATGAGGTTCATTTCTTTCATGTTCTTTCTTAATTTGTCTATCGCTTGGTAATTATGCTTTTGTGGACATCAGAATGACGTGCCATGCAAAATTGGCCCAGCTACAATATCGCTTTCCTCTCCTAATGGTCAAGCCTGATTTTACTCACAGTATGTGGTCGCATTTCGCTCCACTTTGAGGAATAAAATATTTCTGATGCGCAAACAGAGAAAAAACCATCTTTTGTGTAGCGCACAAAGGTGTGGCTATAGTATACTCTGCAAGAACCTGTGATGCCATGAGTTTATTCTAACCTTTGTTTGTCTCACATTAAGTTCTGTCACTAATGTTTGTTTTCACATGCTTTGTTTGTTAAAATTTCAAATGAGACTGTTGCTGTGTGGCATCGTATAAAGGCGTGCTATCCCCGTTTCTAAAGTGCTGTCATCATGTACACTATATTTTGTCTTTCATGTCAGTGTATCACTACAAAAGTGAGTACCTAGCAGCGGAATGCCTCTGCAAAGCAGAAATCTTCAGTCATTTACTACCAAAGGCCAGCAAAGCAGAAGAGTGCTTGGAACATCTATATGAAGTAGGAATAAAAGAGACTTCATTTAAATTGACATCAAACACAAAAAGTGAGGGGGGGGGTTACACAGAAGGACTAAGTGTTGGCTATAGACCTTGAGAGTCGGTATGGTGGCTTTGATGGTCTTGCGTTCTCCTGAGCTTGCAGTGCACTTTTAGTATTGTCGCTGATCTGCTCCTGTTCATGTTTTAAGGTGGAAGCGACAGTCGCAGTGGTCGCTGTTCTCCACAAATGGCAACAGTAGTTCTTTTTTTTTTCTTTTTTATGTTCAGGTATGAATTTGCTTTTTTTTTTTCCCCTATCCGAGAAGCCTCAAACTAGCGCTGTCTAGAGCTGTATTCGAAGAACAGTGCTGCAGCGACTGCGAAAAATTCTACATAGCCTGGTCCCCTTCTTGCCTCAAGGCATTCGAGAAAGACAGACCACCTGAGGCCTAATTTTCACTAAAAACTCAATTGCTCAATTGCAAGCTCTATTTAAAAGATGAACAGAGCAAATGCTTGCCCTGGAAAGAGGTTCCTTGTCAAAAGTCACTGGAACTATTCGTTCCATCCCTTGGACACCATACGAGCAAAAGTAGCACCCCATTCACCTGCAGGCATGCACGCACACTGACAGGAGTGCGCATGCACACACATCTCATGTTGTGAAAAGTGCAAGGGCCCATCAGTTCGTCACTGGTTGTCTGCTAGAAAAACCACTTTGCCAGCCCGTGTCTGAACATGGTGATGAGAACAGGCAATTATGTGTTGTTTTGAGGTTTCCATGGGATTGAAATTGCATTGACGCGCGTTTCAAAAGGAGTTGCTCGCTGCTTGGCGTCAAGTTGGACGCTTGGGGTCAGTGTGTGGTCTTGAATAATTGCTCTGCGTGATGGAACCTTTCAACATTACTGGAAAAGCGAGGTCTTTACGATATATGAGTGGAAGTGAGTGTTTTTTTTAAATGCTTTACGTGCAGTGAGTCATATCAAACATTTTTCGTTCTCAACTAAAAGAACACGGTAAATGCGTGTCCGATATCACACCGGCTACTCGTGGTCACCGTCCTAACAGGCAATAAATCGTGTGAGATCAGAAAACGCAGACAGGCATATTGTGCCTAATTGGCTGTCATCAGCCTGCTTTGTCCCCATTACTTGGTGACCTTGTAAGTTTGCGTAAACATTTAGTAAAAAACAAGCATATTGGAGTGAGGACACTTATAGATGGAATTCGAATCGTTGCTTATGCGTCGTATAGCTGCCATCAAGAGTTGTCAACAGGCACAATTTTGCAGTTAGCTGCTTTGAAACAATGCTTCTGCAGCCGTTGTGGCAACCGCACATGGTGACTTACGAAAAAGCGCGGGATTTCTGCTTAGTTCTTGCGTTTTTTCAGCCTAGAGTTGCCCTTTACTGCCGTGAGTGGGCTCTTGGGAGCAACAAATGACGAGCCCAACTTTTTTGCTATAGGCATCTGGTGGCGCTTCATGTGTGGAAGTGCTACGACCGGTGCACTGTGGGTGCCTGGTGCACAAGCTACCTCAAGAAATAGCTGCATTTGTGACCTTCAAGCACGAATATTCTGCATACTGAGATTGCCTGTAGTTGGGGAAGCGTCTTTTCATTCCAGATCCTGATAGATAGCATTTCATTGAAATTTTTCATACACCTCATCTAGAAATTGTCAAATTAATGAACTCACCCAAGAAGCGAGGTTGCCAGGTCAAAATGCAGCTGAAAAATAATAAAAACTGGCCAGAAAGTAGCCAGCTGCCACCAAAGGCTATATAAGGAGCCAGAAGTAGTTCCGCACTGGTGAAAGCAGCTGTGACGTGTCTATTTCAATCGCTAAGTGCAAGGCCTCTCTTGGCAGAAATGTAAATAGATGGAATATGTTCACAGGATCAGAACTGTTGAGATTAAAGCTTAAATTTTTGACTTAATCATCTCATACATGACAAAGTGCCTTTTATGGTTGCAAAAATAATACATTTTACCCGCCTGGCATTACATTTCTTAGATGGACTGGAAGGAACAGCCTTTTGGTGACCATAAAATTTATTATAGTTTGAGTGTTGTAAGGAATACAGTTGATGGGGTTCATGCATAAACAGAGGTACTCACATTTGCAGTCAACTTCTTGCGTGATGCTGAAGTGTGAGCACTCATTGTTCCTTAGTCATGGTCTCCACCTAGCCCTAAGAAATGATGCAAGCAGTTCTCTGGATGTCCCATTGTTAATGTTGAGTGCAGAGCATGCTTATTGAGGTGTGCAGAGTGTTGAAACTATTTAAAGTCACGTTGAGCAATAGGCGATATGTAAACGTCTGAAAAATCATATTCGTGAACAATTCATGTTTGTAAGTGTAGCTATGTACCTCTTTTATAACGACATTTACTTGCACACATAATCAAAAATTAAGTCGCCATATGCTATTACTTTCTTTGAGTGTAAAACTCATATTATGAACCACTGCTTAAGTAATTGAGCATGTTTATTACATTTGCTTTACTTAATTATTATACTTGAAGGGACGCTAAAGGGGAACAATATAGTCAGTTAACTATATTAATTTTACTACAAAGATTAATGTCACTCGTTTCTCAATTTGATAATAAGGGAGACAAAAAACGAAGGCTCATTTTAAAGTTTTGCGTCTCAGTTATTGCAGGTTATGTCACGGATTTCAAAGTGCATTTCTCGAAGTTTGGCGACCTTGGCGCAACGAAGTTTCCTGAAACGTGGTTATTTTGAGTCAATGGCCCCCCTCGGAGGACAATGTACTTCATTTTTAACCATCAGAAATAATGTGGGTGTTAATAGATTTATGCAATTTTTCATGATTTATAGTGATAGGTACAAGAACTTCAATACTATGTTTTCACATGAATTTTTTTGTGTTTTCTTGCTTACCAAATATCTTCTCCTGGTAAATGGATTGATTTTCATGTTTTGAAAAAGGAATTTTTCGATATGAGGGTAATTTGTATTCGTCTTAGACCATCATGTACTTTTCATGTCCTCTGCAAACAGCTTTTTAATTTCTTTGTGTCATTCCTCTCGATTCATTGTAAAAACACTTGCGAAGGCAACAAAAATTTGCACCGTGCGCCTGCACCAAAAGAGGGGCATTATTGTACAGAAAAGTTGTGTGAAGGATTGTACCTATTCAATAGCTCAGTACTTACATTTGTGCCCTATTTGAAATGCACCACTCCTTTATTACTGAGACTTAAAAAGAAAACACATCGTATCCAACAGCACAAGAAAAAAGCACAGACAAGCCTGCTTTTTTTTTTTTTTTTTGCCTTGTCCTTTCATGAGCGTCGGCAGGATTTTGTTTCGGGGGGGGGGGGGGGGTGCAAATTCGTTTTGCACCCCAGTTGGGGCAGGGGAAAAGCACTGATTTTGCTTGGTTGATGGGCAGTGCTGGGGTAACGTGAGGGGAGCAAGTGCCCCTTTTGCACCCCCTGCCAACACCTATGTGTCCTTTCTTGCACTGTTAGGTTCTACGCTCAAGCCTCACCGTAACAGAGCTGCATCTTGCACAAAATTAAGTTTGTTATATCTGGATATTTGTTATAAAAGTTTATTCCTAACACTGTCTATTGCAACACTGTTCTATGTTTACTTTGTTATAACAGGTATTTCGTTATATCCTAGTTCATTATATCAAGGTTTGAGTGTATAATGAACCACCAACTTGCCCAAAGAATTGCACTTCTAGTAAGCCCACCACAAAGGTTAAAAATTTACTGATTGCTGATTTACTAGTGTCAACATCCGATGTGGCCATGCATTTCAAGCTGTAGCAGTACGGTTGAAGTAGTGGGCCAATCTGGAGTGCGAAAAAGATGAAGCAACTATTGACCACCCCGATTTTCTTGTTTCAAAATTGTCGTCGTATGAGTGGATTGTGAGCATTGTGTCTGATTTTAAACGTGATCTCTGTGCTTTTGCAGATGTGTCGGTTCATCATACGAAGTGTCGAAGTGGCATACGTCAGACATTCAATGGTTGTGTGAATCCACCAAGAACTACATACTTTGATTGGCTGAGTGCAGTCTTATGTGCCCTATCTTGACAGGGATCGGCAGACAGCGCATATCTTTTTACGTGTTGTATTCGCACCACTGGTTGCACTGAAGAAATTGTCAGCATGAAGGTCTTTTCACTCGTTTCTGTGGCTGCATTTCTTTATGCCAGCATTTTGAGTTCCGTCAGGTCAATTGCCAACGAAGTTAGCTGCTACCTCTGCCTCGTATAACATTCCCATTAGTTGCTGACGTAATCATTGCTTTGACTTTGGGACCTAACTTGACTAAATTTCTGTTTTCTCTCAGATTTTGTGATGTGCATTTTGCTTGTGTTCTTATGGTTATATATCAGTTGCTGTAGTTCATGTGCTTGGGAACTGAATACTACTATCATGTCTTAAATACATGTAGATCTCTTTTAAGCTTGTGAGTGCATTGTGCAGCAACATTGGTTGAAGTACTTTAATATTTCAGCGTGTCCATATGGCTTTCAATATGTGGTATCAGAATAGCCATCCTACCTATTGAGGTTTACGATCTATGCTATCTATAGTGACAACTTGAAAAGAATATCGACTTGTGTGTGGTTGTGGGACTGAAATGTTATATCATAATTAAGTTCTTTTAATACACCGTGGATACATTCTACTGCGACACAAGCAAGAAAAGTATTTTAAGGGAGAATCTGTACAGAGCCCCAATAAGAAAAAGGGATTGTTTGTAGTGATCACATTTTTCTCCACCAGGAGGTTTGATGCTTTCCTAAACCGTGTAAATGTTTTCTTTCTTTTTTTTTCATTTTAGTATCTTCAAGTTTGTTCCACATTAGGTCCTTTCACTGATGTTCTATTTCATACGCTTAATGTTTTGAGAGCTCTTTTGCCATGGATCTTTAACAACTATCTGTGCTTTCTGTCATTATGAGATCGTATGCATACTTCCCTCTTAAAGAAGAGTATACTTTGTTCAGTGGGTTGTTTCCCCACAAAGTGGTACTTATGCAAAGTAACTTTACTACCTTAAAGTCCCGAGCAAGCAACGCCGCCCCCTTCCCCCATTGGGGATTATAATTTGTCAAGATGCGAAGGGGGAGGCCTTTGCTCGATCATGGATCTAAATTCGAGATAGCGGTGAAAGAGCCGCAAAGAATATAGAATGCACACCCATGCTTGTAATTAAATGCTCCATTGAATGTGAATGCATTCACTGTTCTCACGAAGAAAGTAGTAGAGGGGCGCTTGCTAGGGATCTTTTGGTTGGCACAGTGCTATAATTTCGTCCACATCAGTCATCCGTGCTTTGGCAGCAGACGTTTGCATTTACTAAATGTAGCACTTATGTACAGATACATGGGAGTCTCTGTGAAACATCTGCTGTGTCTCTGCGACGTTACCACTGCAGCAACGTGTTTTGGGCAGGCCAACATGGCAATGTACTTTATTGAAGGGCTACTGACCCGAATTTTAAAAGCCGATTTTACTCTGCCATTTAAATCTATGTACAGAGATGCTTCTGTGCAAGTGTGAAGCTCAGAAAGTGAAGATTGAATGTTTTATTTTGAAATTAAATGGGTTCTTGTAGTGATATCAACTCTAGCGTGACATAAGAGTAAAGTATCGATTCTAGTGACTTCATCCGCCACTATGGCTACTTGTGACAATGTCAGGCACCAGAACGTTCGAAATGGCCGCTTGTGTGCTACCGATGATGCCCGGTGTGCAGCTATGAAAACACGATGCCTTGCAAGACCACATTCCCGAGACGCTTGTACCGGTCTTGTAATGCCAGGGTGCAACAGGAACAGAAAGTATGTTTAAACAGAATGCTGCATCTACTTTCTCAGGCTGCACTCAGCACTTACCAGTGTATTTGGCGGCTCTTGAGAGCTTGGCCTCTCATTAGAAGCAAAATTAGAGCAAGTGATTGTGTTCGTGTCAGTATTCCTATTAATAAGTACAGCAACTATTCTCTATCACTTTATGCTGCGGTCAAGTTCTTCTTAGTGTGTGAAATGGTTTGCATTGCTTTCCCTTTTTCTTTGTGGCCCTGCAGGTTCCTCATCTAAGATGTCGCACCAGCAGTACCATTCACTCGTGTTCGTTCAAGACAGGCTGCATTCTTGCCGGCAGTGCACATACGTGACCAAGTACAAGACGCACATGAGAACACATCTTCTGAAGCACCTGAACCAGCACCCGTACGAGTGCCACTTGTGTCCTGCCACATTCGCCGAGAAATTCAAGCTCACGCTTCATGTGCGTGCCCACACAGGAAAACGCCCCTTTCCCTGCAATTTTTGCAACGCATCCTTTTCGAAGAAGGACCATCTCCTCGGCCACATTTGTACCCACACGGGAGAGCGTCCCTTTTCCTGCGACTACTGCAGTGCATCCTTCTCAAAGAGGAGCCACCTCAGTGAACATGTGCGCACTCATACGGGAGAGCGTCCGTATTCCTGCACTCACTGCAATGCTTCTTTTTCGCGGATGGCTCACCTCAAATATCATGTGACTCACCGTCATGCCAAGAAGTTATAAAGGTGAGTGTGGACTCGACGTGCGGTTGAGGTCAGGCCACGGGGTATATTGTCACGGGGTCGTGACGTGGCCAAAGACGGGAAACTTCGTGTTGGGATTTAACTGTTTATTTGGGGCGAACCTGTGCCCGGTAAAGGGAAAGTCTAATTACAGCAGCAGTCTTGCACAGATAGCAGTCTCGGACTGATAGCGGCGAACGCAGCGTCGGCCTTCGATCAACAACTCACAAGCGGCGAAGCGCGTCGGCATTTATACCCTTGCCGTCGAATGTTCTAGCGTTATCGCTGGCGGTGGCGTAGGTTCCAGAACAATCTGTACCGTTCGCACAGTGGGCGTGATCTTATCGAAATGATCTACTACAGTCCGGAACCTTCTAGAAACCTGCAGGCGCGGTTTGCGCCGAGAATTGTGTGGTGTTTCGGAACGATAACAAAAACTTGTGAAATGAAACGTGGCAATATTGTGCCACGTTTTTGTTGTTCCTGTGAGTTTGTCAAAGCAGGAGTGATGTAGTTGGCCTGTAGTAGTTCACTGTCTAAATGAATTTCGTTATAACTAGGGGTATGTGAATATACGACTTTTTAGTTCAAGTAGAATACTTGATTGAATCATTCGATACAAATATTGAATAGCTAGTATTCAAAGTCTTGAATAATTTCCACAGGATAAATATCTGAAACACGATAAAGGCCAAAGGTGGAACCTGGTAGGGGTCGGGTGGCTAAAACTTACGCCAATGTCATTACCAATAGGCCTCTTTTTTTATCTTCCACAGTATTCTGGTTTGAAAAGTGCGATGTTTTTTTTTTTTTGAAAATATATCAGTATGTCATTTCAGCTCATTAAAAAAAAAAGAAATATACTCAAGAAAACCATGCGGTTCTTTGCAACTTTGCCTCCGAAATGATGGCATGAACACCTCTTGTAGTTCAGTTGCGTATGCTGCAAGCGGGGTGAACATGCTGACCTTGGCCTGTAATAGTCTTGGTGCTCTGTTTCACATGTAAAAATTTGTTCATGCTGTGCCACTACACTACTCCAATGCTGTCCCGCATCATTTGTTCAGGAGCACCCGTTGTTCCCTTGTGCAGTTGAAACACTGCTGTGTAAGAGCACCTGAGGATTTTCAGGCTCTGAACACTTTTGACAATGAAGCACCACATTATTGTTAACAGATTACTGTTAGAAGGCTAAATCTGCCACTGGCCCTTTTGCTGCCTGCAATGGCAGCTCTCACACATTCATAAAAGCTTAGGGAAAAAAAAAAGGCTCTTCTGAACAAGCACTTATTGAAGCTTCCACTGTGCCGTAGCTTCCGTGATTTTTTCTCTGTCTTTCTGTAATCCGACTGTGCACTGTTCCTGGAGATACGATAATGGTGTTTCTGCATAGCAATGTGTAATCCTTCAATAGCAGTCACAGTGTTGTATGCTCAAGGACATGAGCTAATTTCGTTTCTTTGTTCTGTCTATTTTGAAAATCTTCTGTACTTGATATTCGATTCTTTATTCAGTATTTTTGTCCCCTATTTGGCATTATTCGATTTAAATTCGATTCGGGATAATATTATGCTATTCGCGCACCCCTAAATACAGTAGGCCAGAAAAATATGTTCCGTTTGACAGGGGTTCTGTTTATTGAGAGATGGACAAGGGCGCAGAATACAAGAACAAAACCAATCTTGCCGGAAACACTTCTTGCGTTTATGCAGCAGTTCCATTTAACAGATTTTCATTTACTGAGAGTCTATTGTATAATGAGATTTTTCGTATCACAAAATACTTACTATCTTTATGATTCAAGGTCCATATGACACTGTGTATATTTAACCTCAACATAAAGAATCAGGAATATCTGCTGTTCCAATATATCAAAGTTTCTATGCTTCCATGCTGAAAGAATGAGAGAATGAAATGAAATTTTTTGTTTATGTCAATGTTGAAATGGTTGCGCATGTGACTTGGGGCACCACAGAGCAGAACTTCTTTCTAGGCAGTGGTTTGGCACAAGCTGGTGGTGAAGTGATGTTTTGTACGTTTCCACTATTGGAAGTGCTGTGTTCAATTTCTAGCACTACCACTGTACTCACTGTTTTTTTTTTTATTATTCGAGGCATGATGCCCTAACGTAGCGCCCGCCTCTGTAGGTACTGTATGGAGACGACCATCTGTGCCTCTGTTCGCGGGACTATTGCATTGAGGGCAAGCGTCCTGTGTTGCAATAAACATATGAAAATCTAAAAGATTTTGCACTTCACGTTTGGTTGTTATTGTACCTAGCTACCCTGCTTAAGGTGCATTAAGCGCAAGCACTTCGAGCTTCCTGAAAAGGCACTTGGTTCATGGTGAGGACAGCTGCTTATGGTGCCAGCTGCATGCGTAAACCCTCTGTTTTTCTCGATGTGGGCAATGGGTCCCTGCACCAGTTGAACGCTCATGTCGTCGAATCTTGCCACCTCTTGGTAGTGGAAAATCGAGCCATTTTAAGGGGTTGTTTGTCCTACCAGGAAATTTAACTGCAAGAAAGCAAAACAAGCTGCGTCTAGTACTTTGCAGGCTGTCACTGGCGACATATTGAAACTAAAGCTTAGCTGATTCATGGGTTACTATTCTCTTAGTTGTTAAGCTTTCAAGTTGATATTACTATAACTTTGGTTTGCATCTGAGCATGTCAGGCAATGTGTAAGATAGCTTGCTCTGCAGCAGATGTGCATTTTAATTTAATCTTGTATCAGTTACGACAAAGTATGCCTAGGGCACATTTCTCGCCTTTAGCTGAAAAATGAGTTATAGTTTATTCAAGTGCAGTCCGTGCGGCATCTATTCCCTTGCCACTTCTCTGGTCAGCCTGTTTCACAGTAGGATGATGATCACTGTAAGCTGACCTAGAGATGGTGCTTGCATCTTTCTTCTCTCTTCTATTTTGACACTGCACAACTAGCATATTTCCACATGCTCTTGAACTCTATGCTGTTCATGCTTCCTGTCAAGGCCTGTTGCGATGTTCTACACTACACACAATCATAAATGCCCCATTTGTCGAAACACTTCTATGAAGTGTGCCCCCACAAATAGTGCCACCTTGAGGCCAAGTAGGGAAGGAGAAAGACAAAGTTTCTAGTTATACACAAGCCTCAATATAATTAAACCAAATACAACGAAATACCGGTTATGACAAAGTAAATAAATAGTCTTGCGATAAATATAGTGTTAGAATTGAACCTATATTACGAATTCCCAGATCTAATTAACTTATTTTGGTGTAAGATGCAACTTCGTTATAATGAACTTTGAGTGTATTGCAAAAGAGGCACTTGTGAGTTGAGAACAACGCATGTAGGTGGGAAAAACATTGGTGTATTAATTACACTAAGTACCATGGCATCTAGTTACACAAGCAAACACAAACACATCTTGCACAAATAGCCCAACTTGTTGCATATAATTGGTTGCTGAAATAAGCAACAGCTCAATTACAAGACCAGTTGAAATTTTCTAGGCCAAGTGATTTCTTACATGAGAATCAGATTGATGCCAAAAGAAGAAGTATCTGAAAGTGGTGCTGTGAGTGTTTGTGCAGTCTTTGACAGTAATCCCTTTGCTCTTTCAGATGTGTCCACTCCTCCTGCGGACAAGTTCGGATATTGTCAGAAATGTTGCATTCGCTTCCTCGTAAAACATTGTGATGGGGATATGACCATGTTCAGCAACTACTGCCTTGGATTGGTTATATTGAAAAGACCAGAGAGGGATATTCATCTTTTGCCCTTTTAGTCTATTGAAATTGGGAAGAATATATTTCCTTGCATGCGTTTAACTTTCAATCACCGGCATGAAAGAATTGTGCCTGTTTCTGTACATTGCATTGTTTCAGGCTGGGTATTGGGTATCCGTCTTTACAAGTCTGTTAAGTGGTGTACATGCTCGTACAAGTACAGCTGATAAAAACAATCTTGTAAATGAGGTGAAGTCAGCGCTCTGCGGTGTTATTTCGCTTTCATGTTGCAACATGTAAACAGTGATCTTGAAGCAAGTTTACAGCCGATATTTTGTTCTAAACTCATGAAGCATTTGGCCCCATAAACTATTGTTCATGCTTTTGTGCTGTTAATGGCAATTTTTTGAAATCGTTGCGGGCCAACTAACTTCAGTTTGTGGCAATGGCACTAAGGAACAGGTGCAATCTGAATTCACAAAAGTGCGGCTAAGTTATCTTCCACCAATTGTAGCACAGTGGCTCAAATTCAATATTTTGAAAATTTTGTTTGTATATTTGAGGTTTCTTCCAGATTCTTTCTTGGTTTATGTATTATTTGTGTACTATCTTTATGTGGACAAGTGATTGAGATGGTGTTTGGAAGTGGCTCGAATGCACTATCCACATTGCTCTCCTGGAGGTGAAGCTTAAGTTTTCTTTAAATATTCGGTTGCATTTTCCTTTATTTGAGGAATAAGACAATTCTGATGGCTAGTTAACAATATTGTAGCTGTATCATACACCACCAGAACTTGTGATGCCATTCTAACCTTTGTTTGTCTCATGTTAAGGTATTTCAGTAATATTTGTTTTCCACGTGCTTTGTGTGTTAAAATTTTAATTGATGCTGTTACTGTGCAGCACTGTGCAAAAATAAAAGTGGGATAATTACTTCAGTGGGTTATTGCTCAATGCAGTGGTGAAAATGCAAGGTATTTGACTATCTAGTTATAATTGCCATCAATGCATTGAAATGGGGAGGCGCTACGCATGGGAGCAAACGCATGTCACATTGGCTCTGTCGATTTGTGAATGTTTCTGGGGGTTTTTCGAACTCTACCCTTGAAAGTGGCACACCATCGGACAGGTCAAGTCATCGTGAACCCACAGATACCAGCTTTTTGGGTGAGCGTGAGCTTTACGAGCTTTAGGCTCATAAACTGCAAGAACTATACGAGTGAGCGTCTAGGCCTAACGGTGGTTGGGCCTGGCGCATACCGCGTCTAACTCGAAGACTGAACGAACA